TGCTAGAACCACGGAATTCGGAAATGTCTAACACCTTCTTCCGGATTAACAGAATTCCTTACTCAGGATTTCTGGTTCGCAGAATAACAAACAGAGTCATATTCTCCTCGATTCAGGGATTAAAACCGGTGACTTGGGACGCCTTAAAATTCCCAGGTGGTGATTCTGAAACAAATAAACAAATCCCGTTTCGACTGTCCTTTAATTGAAGAAAACTCCCTACGCGCCTCCCGCGGGTGCGGTAAAAAAGGAGGTGTGACAACACATCATACCCACTAAATTTAGCAGAAAAAATCTTTTCATATTGATAGGAGTCCAACACAATTCTAGTACCTAATACCATAGATTTTAAGTCATCCTTATCATTCACAAACAGAACATTCTCATAGGTTCTTCATATACAGAATTTCCAAGAGTGTCAAATAGAGGGGAAAGATGCAGGAAATCAAAAATTGCAGTCACATCACAATGAAGATTTTGTATAAGAGAAAGACTTACACAGCGTCCATAAGCCATGGATTTTGACTTATACGACTTAAACCTTGTCTTTTCATTGTGGCCATAGAAAATCAACTTGTCTTCTGGACCAAAATCCAATTGTTCTACCTTGCCCTTTTGCATGCAGCCTTTTGGGGGGTTTGCTTCATGGGTCATTTTTCGGCCTTTTTCTGGCTAATGGGTTGATTTTCAGATGAGGCACTGCTATCATTGTCAGTTTTGAGAAGGTCTAAATCAATAGATGATTCTACATCCACTATTTCTTCTGTATTAAGAGGTTTTTGAAACCTACGGCTTCGTCTGGTTGCAGAGGAAGGATTTCTTTTGGCCATGGAGAAATTGGAGATTTTGTAGAGAATGAGGAAAGTATTTGGAAGAGGGAGGTTTTTTATCAAGGATTTGAGATAAGTGAAGGGGCGTCTTGGTTATCGGAAGGGTCAAATACAGACGGATGTGATGGTTCTAAATGACTACAAGTAATAATTACACTTCCACTATAAAATTAATTAGTACGCGGATAATTAAGGAAATAAAATATACTGAAAATGTGTAGAATATTTTAACCACTAAAACAAGTTACTGGTTTACAAATTTGGCAGAATGCCAATCTTTTTTCGAAGGATACAAAATCTTTCTTCTAAAAGAGCTTTAGTGAAAATATCAGCAAGTTGAGAATCACTGCTAATGAATTCTAATGCAATATCACCTTTTGCAACATGATCACAAATAAAATATTGTTTAATTTCTATATGTTTTGCTCTAGAATGATGCACAAAATTTTTAGACATACAGATAGCACTGGTGTTGTCGCAAAAAATAGGAGTAGCAGTAAGACATAAATCATAGTCAAAGAGTTGATGCATGATCCATAAAACTTGTGTACAACAACTTCCAACAGCTAGGTATTCTGCTTCAGTTGTTGAAAGAGCAACACAATTTTGTTTCTTGCTGTGCCAAGATACTAGGGCATTTTCCAGTAATTGACATATCCCACCGGTACTTTTCCTATCACTTTTGTCTCCTGCAAAATCAGCATCTGAAAAGCCTCTTAAGGAAAAATTGTTAGAATGATCATACCATAGGCCAAATTCAGTAGTACCAATTAAATATCTAATAATGCGTTTAACAACAGACAAATGTGATTCCTTAGGTGCTGACTGAAACCTAGCACATTTACATATACTAAATATAATATCTGGTCGACTAGCAGTTAAATAAAGTAGAGATCCAATCATTCCTCTATACATGGATTTATCAACCATTTTGCCATTGCTGCCATCATCTAGCACAGTAGTTGGACTCATAGGAGTGACAATAGCCTTAGCATTTTCCATTCCAAACTTTTTGATAAGCTCCTTGGTGTTCTTAGTTTGGCTGATAAAAATTCCTTTAGGAGACTGCTTGATTTGAAGTTCAAGGAAGAAGGTTAGTTCTCCCATCATGCTCATCTCAAATTCGCCTTTCATGGAAAGAGCAAATTCTTCACAAAGAGTAGTATTAAGGCTACCAAAGATAATATCATCAACGTAAATTTGAGTAATGAGATTGTCAGAATTTGATTGCTTAATAAAAAGAGTTGTATCTATGTTACCTCGTTTGAAACCTTGATTCAAAAGAAAAGAACTTAACCTTTCATATCATGTTCTCAGAGCTTGTTTGAGACCGTACAAGGCTTTAGTTAGCTTGTATACATGGTTTGGAAGAGTGGCATTTGAAAACGCAGGAGGTTGCTTCACGTATACTTCTTCAGATATATAACCATTTAGGAACGCACTTTTGACATCCATCTAATACAGTTTGAATCCTTTGTGAGTGGCAAAGGCATGTAAAATTCTGATGGATTGAAGTATTGCCACAGGTGCAAAGGTTTCATCATAGTCGATTCCTTCTTGTTGAGAGTAACCTTGAGCCATTAGCCTTGCTTTATTTTGAACGACTTGGCCTGATTCATCCAATTTGTTTCTGAAAACCCATTTAGTTCCAACAACAGAGGAGTTTTGGGATTTTGGAACTAATTCCCAGACTTTGTTTTTCTCAAACTAATCTAATTCTTCTTTCATGGCGTTGATCCAGTGAGAATCTTTTAGAGCTTCATCAATCATCTTGGGCTCAATTTGAGAAATGAGAGCTACATGAAACTTGTTCTTTTGTGATCTCCTTGTAGTTATTCTTTCTTGTGGATCTCCAATAATGAATTTGTGAGGATATCCTGGTTCGTTCCTCCATTCATTTGGAGTATTCATTGAAGAGATCTTTTCCATGTTAGTCGACTGATCTAGTTGAGATAAGTCATGATCTTCTGAAGGAGCTTCAGCTGGTTGAGTCTGTTGATTAGCTGACTCACTTTGATGATCTTTTCCTATAATAACATATTTTGGAGCACAAAAAATTTCCTCATCTTCAGGAACATGTTCATTCCTTGGGCGAGGGTTAGTATCAATAAAAACAACATGAATAGATTCTTCAACGCATAAGGTTCTCTTACTGTAAACTCTATAAGCTCTACTTGAAGGAGAGTAACCAAGAACTATACCTTCATCACTCTTTGGATCAAACTTACCCAGATTATCCTTACCATTGTTATGAACAAAGCATTTGCATCCAAAAGGGTGGAAGTAGCTGATGTTTGGTTTCTTACCGTTCCATAGTTCATAGGGAGTCTTTTTGAGAATAGGACGAATGAGACATCTGTTAATAATATGAAACGTTGTACTTACAGCTTTTGCCCAGAAATGGTGAAGTAAAGAGTTTTCCACTTTCATCGTTCTTGCCATATCCTGCAAGGTTCTATTTTTCCGCTCTACTACACCATTCTGCTGAGGAGATCTAGGTGAAGACAAATTATGAGAGATTCCTTGATCATTGCAGAAATTTTCAAATGCTCTGCTTTCAAACTCTCATCCATGATCACTCTTGATTGTAGAGATGTAATAGCCCTTCTCACGTTGAACCTTCTTACAAAAGACTTCAAAATTCTTTAAGGCGCCATCTTTATGACTAAGAAATATAACCCATGTAAATCTAGAGAAATCATCTACAATAACAAAAGCATATTACTTACCTCCAATACTAGCAGTTCTAATGGGGCCAAATAAATCCATATGCAGCAGTTGAAGAGGTTTAGAGGTTGAAACAATGTTTTTAACTTTGAAAGAGAATCGAGTTTGCTTTCCTAATTGAAATGCATCACAGATATGATCTTTTGAAAAATTCAGTTTTGGAAGACCAATGACAAGGTCATGTTTTGAAAGTTTTTGAATGGTGTGCATGCTTGCATGCCCAAATTTCCTATGCCAAACTCAGGGATCTTCATTTATAGAAGAAAGACAAATTTGATCCCCAAAGTTTTCTAGGGTTTTAATAGTATAGACATTTCTGTCCCTATTACCAGAGAGAATGATATTACCTGATTCGTCTTTTATGAACTAGTCATATTTCTTAAAACAAACCTCATAATCATTGTCACATAGTTGACTGATGCTGAGAAGATTGTACTCGTTTTCATCTACTAAGTAAACTTTATCCACATCACATGTAGAGCTTAAAGGAACCTTTCCAACACCAATAACATTTCCTTTGGATTTGTCACCAAAAGTCATTGTTCCTCCATCTAGCTTAGTGACTGATTTGAACAATTATTTGTCACTCATCATATGTTTGGAACACGCGCTGTCGAGATACCATTTTCCTTTTCAATTCTTCTTGCGGTGTTCCTCACTAGTTCCTTTATCCAAAGGTGAACAGAATCATCTTCTTCTTCGTTGATGTCTGTCATTAGTCCAAGTTTATCTGATTCTTCATTGTCGCTAAGAGCCATAAAGCATATGTTAGAAATTTCCTCATGATCAGATTCCTCTTCATCACTCCATGATCCAAAAGATTTCTTCTTTTGCACGTTTCTGCTAAGCTTCCTTTTTAATTCAGGACAATCAGCTTAAGCGTGACCGAGCTTTCCACATTCGTAACATCTTCCATCATTCTTATTTGTTTCATTGCTCGTCCTTCCTTTTCTGAAATTAAACTTACCTCTTCTGTAGTTTTTGTTTCTTCTCATCATGTTGGTCACAACTTGCGAGAGCATTACAATGTTTTCATCTTGCTCTCCTCCTTCTACTTCATCTTCATTTTCAGGTTCAGCCATAGTTGCTTTGAAAGTAACTGTTTTCTTTTTCTCTTGAATTTGTCTATCAAGATGAGTTTTCTCAAAAGCAATCAAGTCACCTCTGAGTTCATCATAAGAGATTTTGTCCAGGTCTTGACATTCTAAGGCGATAACTTTCGGTTGCCAAACTGTAGGTAGACTTCTGAGGATTTTTCTAACCTGTTCGCCACTTTTAATAGGTCTTCCAAATGATTTAAGGTCTCCTAGAATTTTGCTGAATCTGGAAAACATTGCTTTGACCGATTCTCCATCCTTCATTTAAAATAATTCATATTCCCTAACCAGGAGATTTATTCTGGTCACTTTCACTTTGTTGGTTCCCTCATAAGTAACTTCCAGTTTGTCCCACATTTCTTTTGCAGTCTCATAACTAGATATTTTTTCATATTCTTCTCCACTGATAGTGTTGTACAGTAGATTTTTTGCTTTTGCATTTACAGTGATAACAACAGCTTGTTCATCAGTGTAATCGTCCAAATCCAGAGGATCAGTTGATGTGATAATTTCACCATTTGCATCCTTCGTTAGAGGGATTGGAAGATTTCCCTTTTTTTCACATGCCATACTTCGATGTCGTATGACATGGTATATTTTTCATGCGAACTTTCCAATGAGAAAATGCTGACCATTGAAGTAAGGAGGTCGAACATGAGATATTCCTTCTTGAAAGATAGCACCGGCAACAGTGTTGGATCCCATTGATCTTTTTCTCACTAGCGGTAAAGCATAGAGTGTGAGCCTTGCTCTGATATCAATTGAAAGTACAAGAGGGGGGGTGAATTGTTGCCTAGTTAAAATTTAGTCGACTAATATAGGTATTAGTTGACTAACCACGAGACAGAAAGAGTAAAAGCAGTAAGGAGCAATAGAAAGACACACACGATTTATACTGGTTCGGTACCGTTGTGGTACTTACATCCAGTTCCCTTGGGTCACAAGGATTCCCTTAAAATCTTTGAATAAAGTTACAAGATTGATGGTTTTTGTGTTTACCATCACCGTATAGAATCAGCAATTTGAGTTCTAATCAATTGACACAACTTTCTTTTGTACCCTAGATCTCTCTATCTTTTGAGACACTGATAACTCAGAATTATAATGTTTGAACTAAGAAGTAGACAGATTTAGAATACACTTTTTGTAGTTGCGTGATCTTCTTCTTGAGAGAGCAACCTTTTTATACTAGAGAAAAGAGCCATTGAGTCATTTTTGAAACTGGAGGCACAAGATCTTTAATTAAGGGATTTGACCCAAGAGGTGCCTCTTTGAATCTTGCTCTTTGATTGGCCCATATTCGAATGTGACCTTCCTTGTCACAGCTGAATTCAAGGAGAGATTAATTCGTGAGTGTGTTCTTCGAAACTGGAGTGACCATGATTGGTAATCTGAGTTCCCTTGATTGAGTCAATCTGCTTCTTGATTGATCATTAATGCTGCAACTGAATCTTCATTCTTTCCTTGATTGAGGACGAGTCAATCTGCTTCTTTAACTGATCATTAATGCCGTAACTAATTCTTCCTTCTTCCTTTATTTTAAAACCAGTAGCAATCTTGCTAATCATCTTCATTCTTTCCTTTTTGTTTCTCCTGAAAATATAACATAAGATAATATTGTCATCATTGAAACTTAAACTTAAAACCTATCATACTTCACTTTGTGGATATTAGTCGTTGCCTCATTTCATTACATGTCAATTCAAATCGAAAGATATTGACACTTAAGTACATGTTCCTTCCTTTTGCACAGGAATTATTCTTATTCTTTATCTTTGCATTAGTGGGAAATTGTTGGCATTATTCCTCTTTAGGCGTTATACTCTAATTTGATAATGCAAAGAATAAAGAACACTTCTAATCTACAATTAATCTGTGGTTAATTCTCATACCTTTCCACATTAATTTTTTATAACATTTCTTGATTTATAAATGGTTCACATTCATTCATATGACGGTTTCTTAATTTTTGTGAATTTGTTTGTGAAAAGATACAAACTTTTCAGAAGGTTTGAAGTTACTGTCTTTATGACAATTTTGTCATTAAACCAAAATAATGTTACATAACATTAACTCTCATTTGGGATCTTACGTTTTTCTGATGGAAGAAAACGTAAATGATTTGCCTATATAGACACCATCATTTGTGAGTTAAATAACCAACCAAAAATATTATACTCTCATCCTCTCAAAAGATTATTCTTCTTCCTATTTTTCCTGTGCAATTCTTTTCTGTAAACTCCAAACTTCCAGCCACGAGTGCACGTGTTTGGAAGTACTGTAGAACATTGGGGAACAACCAGTCTTAACGATTTGCACTCAGTCGAACCGAATCGCTTTCAAAGCATTGGCTTGCCATGGCACAATATTTATTCGATAAATTATTTCTATTCTTGGTCAATATTATCAACTATTTTTCTTACATTTTGTACCTATTCCTCTTTCTTGACTCGTAAAGGGAAAAAAAATCAAGTAACATGTTTAAAATAATATCGAGTCTAGAGCTTTCTCGTGTAAAAGAATACCAATTCGAAACTAATACCCTAAAATGATCGGTTTAAAATATTCATATTATAATTTATACAAGAGCATTTTCTAGGCTATGCAATTGTATAAGATATGGGTTTAACTTCTATACATTACTGACTATGCAATTTTATTTATACTATCATGTTATTCAAAAGGCAATTAGAGATAACTACAACCTATAATAAATGAAATTAGTAACTTGAAATATAAGATTAGTAACTCGTTGCAACGGGTCAAATTATACTGATAATGTAAAAATTTATTACACTCCTCGAAGAGCTCAGATGTTCAATATACAACTTTCATTTCCAATTCAACATTCAGAATAGTTACATCAATTGCAAGATTTAAAAGATCTACTTGACATAGTAAGGAAGATCAAGGACATAAAGGAGGAAATAAGCCCAAGTGACACCAGAAATTCCACCAAAAAAGAATCCACCTGTGAACTTTGACCATCCCTCTGCTGTTTGCAATTGGTCTGGCACTTTTTTCCTCCCAGTCAATGTCAATGCTGGTGCTGTTGATGCTTCTCCTTCTTTGAATGATGATATTCCATAAATGGTCAAACATATGCTAAGGATCACTACAAGTCCTGCTGCTGCCAATGAACCAGCTCCCCCTGCATTAACAGTTAGCGGTGTCGAATGAACGCGTTAGGCTGAATTTGAGCGGGTCAAAATGAGTTAATAAATGAAACAGTCATTAACCTACCCAACTTGGACGTGTTGTGGGGGTCATATTTTCATGGACATTCAGCTGAACTCTTACATCTTTGACACAGAGCTTACATATATATGTAAAATATTACTAGATTTTTAACAAATATTAAATCTTTAGCCGACACTTTTTGAAGTACAATGAGTTCATCGTTAAGAATATAAATGCATGAAGTTAAAATTTTGAATTCGACTTTACCTGCATATTCAGTGTTTCTTAATGGACCAGTCTTTACAAATGGGCCAACAAGCAGGAATCCATGGGCCAGGCCCACTTCTACTCCTCGGAGAAGTGGGTTCACGGCGGTCCGGTAGGCTGGTAAGTTGGATAGGTACCAAGCAATCAATGGGCTTGAGGTCACTGGAGTTTCAAGACTTCCAATGAAAGGGTCACCATTCAAGGGCTGAATCACTTGGTAAGTGGGCTGCATAACCAAGAAAAAAGAAGAAGAATTAATCTAACTAGTTGTTCATCCAAAAAGTAGCTGGCTATTTGCATAAATATCCCAAAAACAAGAAAAGTAGACAAAGTAAAGGACAATTGTTGAGAATTGTTCGACATCCACAAACCAAGAGCAAGCAGAACTACATGGTCCAAAGGTGTTTTTGATTGATTTTGTCTAAAAATTATATTATGTACATAGATAACAAATTTAGTAAATATATGTACATTTTGAATCTTTTTAAATAAGATATTAAGTTGTAACATAATGGCAAACGTGAATCAATATAGTTGTTTTAGATAGCCAAATTCTAGATCTCATGTAACCTATGTTGGATTTAGCACTTTCTATGCCAAAGCAAAAAAGTTAAGCACAACTTATTTTTGACCTATATTTATAATTACGAATCATGAAGACTTCATCAACAAGAATGTGTTCTTCCTTTCATAAAATAAAAAAAATAACATGAATTTCTTCTCCTAATCTTAGGCATACAATTTGGAATATAAATATAAATAATAGCAGCAGTAAAATAATAGACGAAAAAATGTTTAAAATTTGTATATATATATATTCTGTATTTTATATACAAAAAATATACAAGTTTTAAACACTTTTTGAGCTACCAGACGTAAATAATTTCTGGCACGGGCTAAGAATGATAATACTCAAATTCAAGAAGTAATTTAATATCTTACTTTGTCTGTTTGGACAGCTTTGATAGTAAAGCAAGACTTTCTTGTGGAAGGAAAGATTTTAAAAGGAACACCAGAAATGCCTTTGGGAGTAACAAGTCCACTGCCTCTTGTTAAAGAAGAAGCAAAGCTGCTCTTGAGTTGGCTTGCCATGGGGGAAGCAGCAGTTGCCATTTTGGAAATATTGTTAGACACTTAGGTCAGTTAACAAAATATAACAAAGATGCAAACATATGAATATAGGAATATGTTTTGTTGGCAGACAAAATCTATTGCTCACAAATTCGTGGTTCTGAGGGAAGATGACACTTACGTGGGAGCTTGTGATTGGGTAATAATAAAACGTTATCTCTTATCCATACCCCATTGGTTAAGAATGGATCATCACTGATCAATGATTGCTGACTCGAGCTTCACCCATAAATACTTACGCATGCTGGATGTTTACAACTAACTAAATAAATAACCTTAGGAATTAATAAATTAAAGTAAATATGCATATTACTTAACCATATTTAAGCGTTAAAAAGTGTTTATGTAAGACATGTCTCTCATTCATTAGCTTGGTGTAATCACCTAACACGATGTATAGAGTTTAGCACTTGTCCGGTGCTGGAAGGTCAGAAGGAGAATGTTATAAGCTTTGAATGAAAGTCCCGGTAAACGGCGGCAGTAACTCTAACTGTCATAAGATAGCGAAATTTCTTGTCGCACAACGCGGGTAAGTTTTTACAGTGATGGAATGGGTGTCCTTTTTTTTGGTAAGTTCAAAACGTTTATATACTAATATAATTTTTACATTATCATTCGCTGTTGAGATCGTAATCGGCCTACATCAACATAAAATGAAACTATTAAACTAAGGGTGAGTCGTTTTATTTGGACGAGAACAATTGCTTAATAGGCACTTCTTTGTTTCCCTAAATTGATACACTAGTAGGTAGCCCAACTAGTTTATGTATAATTCTCAGTAGACATCAATAGCTACTGTAAATCAGATACCTAGATATCTATTTCTTCCATTTAAAAATTACACATTTTGGACTATTGGTGACAGCATGATTGCACAAGAAGGATAAGCCTAATTTAATTTGTATGTTCATAAGTACCGTTCGTTTTAACTTTTGGATTCAATCTTATTTTATCTTGCTGTTATTCCTACTTGTTACAATTACCTTTTCAAAACTGCATTCTTGGATTCGATCTTATTTCATCTTGCTGTTATTCTTATTTATTGCAATTACCTTTTCTTTTTCCGATGTTTTCTAGCCGAGGGTCTATTGGAAACAACCCCTCTGCCCTTCCAGGGGTTAACTAATGGGTTTGTTGTTGTTCATAAGCACCGTTCGTTTAAATTTGGTAAACAAGTCCAATCGAAGTCATTGAATTTTGAGTCCAGAGACATCACGAAACAGCATGAGCAAAGAACCGATGTTAACATGAGATTAAAGGACTATAAACATGAAAGACAGTGCACATATTCAAAGATCAAAGTACCAGCTTTTACACCAGATTATAAATTGACAAGGCTACATTCAGTATTAAATTTGCTCACACACAAGCAAATTAAGCAAACTCCAAGGGTTAAACACTAACAGCTAAAAGGATCATCATTAAAGTTTCTTGATCAGTGCAGGTAAGGAGCCTGGTAATGGTAGCCATTTCCAAAGAAGTCATGGCCAGGAGAAAAGTTGTAAACAGCAGCACCCATGAATAAAGGAACATGGTTGCTGGTCGGTCCAGGGTGAGCATATGGTCTGTCATAAACGGATTGCGGGCAGCTCTCAGTCATTCTGGGATAGAAGTTTTTGTCCATGACAACATTATTTACTCGGAGGCCATTTCCGACACCATTGGGGCGAGGCCTTTTCGATTGAGGTTTCGCAACTTCAGTTGCCTTTTTCTTGTCTGCCTTTGCTTTCTCCAGCTGAAGAACCCTTTTCTGAAGGGGGTCCACCGGGTAGTGCTCCTCAAGCTTATGGTCTTCGATGCATTTTAACACGGCCTTTAGTGCAGTCAACTCTTTCTCATTGACATCATTCTGGAGAAAAACAATTATTTATTCTCGCATGCTATCAGCTAGGAGAGTTAACATTAAATGCAAGACCATTAGCTGTATACAGCCTAAATGTCCACCTCATGCGAAAGAGGTTTTTATACATGGACCAGGACACAACAGTGAACACTGAATATGATGAAAAAACTGCAGTCCAAATTATACCAAAGCACAAGGAACAAACCTGCACAGTAGGTGATGCATTTCCAGAATTGAGAGGTATAGATGCTTTGCTAGCTTCATTCAAGTAGGATTTCAGTAGAGATACAGGTGGAAACTGCTGTGTCAGCTCAAATGCAAAAGCTAGATTAACAGCATCTATATGTCTTCCATTATTTATCAACACATCAATAACACCTAGAGATGAAAGGAGCAAATATGTGAGTATCTCGAAGTATACAGACAGTTTCCTATACCCATTCAAGTAGACAAAAGATATGAAGTTCTACTTCACAGACTGTTTCCTATACCCATTCAAGTAGACAAAAGATATGAAGTTCTACTTCCTTCTTTCTTTCTTTCTTTCCTTTTTTTTTTTTTTTTGATAAGTAAGAATTCACTGACAAATAAAGTATCTTCACAATGTCAGTTCTCTAAAAAGCCAACTATATGTAACGATTAAACTAGTAAAACTGTTTTAACCATCAATGTATATAAGTTAAATTGTTCTCGTTAGTGAAAATCCAACAACAAACATATCTTAGAAGTGATGTGATGTGGTCATTTGCACTCTAGCGTCGGTTTTCCTTACGTGCTTCAAGTCGCTTTACCTTTCTATCTTTATATGTTACTTCCTCTTTCTAAGGGCCATTCCTATAAAATTATTTTGTTAAATATCTAGACTCCGGATGAATGAAAACACTACTTTCTACAAGCTAGATGAAAATACTACATCCTGTAACGTCAATTGTTACCATGATATGACTATTCTTTTTGAACCATCATAAGATTACTCTTTGAATGAGGATTCATGTTGCTGACCCCAACTTGTTTGGGACTAAGGTGTAGTAGTTGTTGTTGTATAAGATTACTCTTTGAAAGTATAGAGTATAGGAAGGGGGGAGAAGGAAAGGAAAAAAGAGAACAAAAGATAAAGAGGCCTTAAAGATCTCGTCAAAAATAGAAAAAGTAGGGGAAAAAATCCTTGAGCAAGTTATTCTACTATTTATGAAAACCAACCTGGCATTCTGTCAGATAATCCAAGGGAACGACAGAGATCAGCTGTTTGACGACGTCGTGAAACCATTGGTATCAGCTTGGATAAGTTCTCCTGGTTAAAATTGGAATTAATACTAAAAGTAGCAAGTAGCTGTAAGAATGCATGAGCCTCCAAAGAATTTCCATTATTTGCATCAATGTCAAGTTCATCTAACTTCGGGTTCCACTCCTCAGCAATACCTTTCGCACGTTCTTTTACATTTTCTGATATTATACTTGAAATAGAATTCATTTCCAGGGTGTTTAATAAAGTACTAAGGCATTCCAGTAGCATAATACAAGTTCGCCGCAAACCCAAAAGATTAGCATCTTTTTTAGCATCAGAAATTGACAAATCTGAGTTGTAAAACCCCTTCAGTGAGTCCAGAACCAGAGAGGCAGGATTGGTTGCAGCTCTTAAAGCAAGTGGAATCTCCTCCCTAAGAGCTGCCAGGTTTTTACGGTTGTCTGATATGAATTTGTGGAGGCCTTCAGAATCCATATTTTGGCACAGCTTCACTAGCTCTGGATAAGACTTAACTTCCACACCACCACCCTGAGAAGGTTTTCCAGTATCCTCTATAACATGCCCAATCTCTATGAAATCATCAGGCTTTTGTTCCAGAATAGATGGCCCATCTTGAACCTCACAATTAATGACAGCAGGTTGTACAGAACAAGGCTTCCTATGCTTCTCAAGAGCGATAGCAATAGCGGAAACTGCAGCATCTCTTTTCTCCTGGAGCCTCTGAAGTGAAGCTTGCTCTTTAGCAATAACAGCTGCTTGACGCTTCTCCAACATCTCCCTAGATTGGAAAATTTTTGTCTCAAACTCCTTCTCTTGGTCTTCCAGTTCATTGAAACGCCTCTTCAAGGACTTCTGAAGCCCATGAAAGTGCTCTTCAAGTTGCTTCCACTGCAGGTTGAGAGTAACAGCACGGTGACTTTCCAACTCAGCGAATGCTTTCTGTAGTTGCTGTATCTTGGATGTTGTAGAGTCCACCAATGTTGCAACTGACTCTGTATCTTCCATGGCGAAACTCCCTGATAATCTATTTGAATTTTTCGGAAAATCTCTTTAGATGACTGATAAAACAACAAATGCGCCTACATTTGTCAACTGAAACTACTATACAACTTTTTATTTTGGAAATTTTTAGTGTTGCATAATAATTTGCAGACAGATTCACCAACAACAAGAAGCCCAGAGTAATCCCTATAGTAGTTTCAGTTGACAAATGTAGGCGCATTTGTTGCATAATAATTTGTACACAGATAACAGTTTATTGAAAGATATCAGACATATACACAGCTACTAGTACGATGACAACCTAATTAAGGAAAGAATCTCAATACCCAACTCTTCTTCTAATAAGCCAGATGAGTCATTAATCCTTTCTTTTATTTAATATGTCAAAGCTAGTCATAGATGCACCTAAACTAAACCCCATGTTATCAAGGCTACTAGAGACTTTTCCAGTATAAATACCTACTACTCTTTCTTAAAAGCATCGCTGAGAACCCAAATTTTGATCATAGTTTCAGGTTCTTAACCCATAGCGGAAGAGAGAGGGAGCGAGAGAGAGAGAGAGAGAGGGGGAACAAAGAATTTTTCTTTTTGAAATAGAAGACAGTTTAGGCACCCAAGGGTTTGGCCTAATGGTCAATGAAGTGGGAGAGAACCATGCGGTCTCAGGTTTAAATCCCAGTGGAAGCAAAAAACATTAGGTGATTTCTTCGAGAGAGAGAGAGAGAGAATGGCAAAGTGGAAACTGGGAACAAAGAATTTTTCTTTTTGAAATAGAAGGCAGTTTAGGCACCCAAGTGTGTGGCCTAATGGTCAATGAAGTGAGTGAGAACCATGAGGTCTCAAGTTTAGCAAAAACTAGGTGACTTCTTCCCACTATCCAAGCCTTGATGGATAGAGGTACCTGGTACCTATAGCTGGTAGGAGGTGGCACGTATCC